GAACTCAAATAAGGTATTCAACTAAGTTTACACAAGTGGTAAATTGGTAAATCCTAATCTTTTTGACTTGTAGAATTCAAAAATTCAGTCGTATTTCCAACATTATAATTCAATCCAAGCCATACTTAAAAATGATCTAGAACTGATAAGTCTCTGCGCTTGTAAGCGGCTTGCGGCGAAATCACAGATTTAGATAAGGATAGTTTGGAAAGTATCATGGTAATATACCACAAATGTCTGTGAACTGGATGTTTATAAAAACACTAAGAACAGCTTTTATTCTAGTCTTGTATCTCACTAGATGCGATTTTCAAAATATGCTCAATTGCAAGAAAATTAAAAATTTTAGAGATGTTGAAAAGTTATTAATTAAGAAAAATGCATTATGAGCCAGAGACCTTCATGGGGCCCATACCAGGCCCACATTTTATTTTCTAGTGGGTTTGGGCTAGGATTTTTAAATTATTTTTTAATGGGCTTGGACTGGGTTTGGGTCTAAAATGATTAAATTTAGATTATTTAAAACATTTGCTAATTTAAAGAAATATTGCCTTTTTTTCTTCTAATAATAATAAATTTCAGTATTGTTAACAAAATCATTGCCTAAATATATTTAAATATTGTTTATTTTAATTAAATAAAAAAAAATTAAATTTTTGAATATGGGCTTGGGCCGGGTTTGGGAAATTTTTTTGAAACTTATCATGGACTTGGGAATTTTTTTTAACATTAGATATGGGTAGGGCTGGGCTTGGGTCTAAAAAAATTTTTACTGCGGGACTGGGCCGGGCTTGGTCAAAAAATAAGGCCCATGGAGTTTTTTGTTATGAGCCAATGGGTTATTAAATATAAGTTTAAAATTTTTCAATAATATTGTTCGAACTGCCAAAGATAATTATAATAAACTCCTCACCGATTAAAGACACTAAAGAGATATTTTTTAGCGTAGTATGATTGAACTCAAAAATATTATTTGGCATGTTCTCAATATAAATATAATAACTAGAGAATGCTTCATAATTCATTTAAAATAAAATATATTGATTTAGGTCATTATAATTAATCGTATATAATATAAGGGCTAAGGTAATATTTTAAAAAAATGTGTTTCCGATCAAAAAGATAAGCAATAAAGTAAGTTGAATTAAGAGTAAAATTAATTTGATAATCACAAATTAAAATTTAAACTTTAAATCTTTTTTAAAATAAAATAAATTGTTTGCCAATCTCGCGATTTTAATTTTAGTTTTTATACCCCAGTTATTTTAAGTTTATATTTTTATATTATTTTCAATTGAATTTTTATATAGGGTGGTACATTAAAGTTTTTTTATACTATTGGGCTGTCATAAAAATGATTTTATTATAAGGAGAACTGGCATATTTTATTTTGTTATAAAATTTTTTTTTTAAAGTATTTTAATGATGGAACCAATTATTATGATGGTTATGGATAAAATTGCAATATTTTCATAACAAAAATGCAGAGTTGTTAAACGCTATTTTTAAAAGTAGCACGCTACCGCTATAGCTATTTGTCAAAAAAAGTAGCGCGCTACCGCTTTCGCTCTTTGTCAAAAAATGTAGCGCGCTATTAGCTACTTTTAAGCTACTTTTTATAAAAAAAATTTTAGAAACAAATGAAACAAATTTTTTTTATTTTTTTTGCTTATAATGTAAATGTATAATAAATAATATATAAAAATCAACATTTATAAATATAAAAATATAGTTAGTTTAGATTATAAAAAAATAAGCAATATAAATAAATATTTATTTTAATTTGTTGCATTTTAATAATAATATCATTTCAATATTATCATCCCCAAGTCTAGAGCGACGACCAGAAAGTATAAGCTTTGCTTTACTAAATAATCTCTCGACACTAGCACTTGAGGGCAAAGGAGTATTTAATTTTATATATAAATTTTTAATATATGAAAAATTATCAAAAATATTCATTCCAATATTTTTTGAATGAAAAAAAAGATCAATTGGATTTTCTATTAAATCATCTTTAATTTCAAAAAAATTATTTGAGGATGTCTTCGTGGTAGATACTCGGCAATCTATGTTTGTTGGAGTAAGATTATTCAGCTTCGCCATTAGCCTATCGAGTTGATGTTTGGCATCATCGGAATTTATATATGGCCCGTTTAGTTTAAACTTTGGATGAACCATTGCCGCTAAGACATTGTCATCATTGTATAAGTTTGGGAATCTAAAAGTTACAAAAATAGAGTATTTTAAATATATCTTAATCATAAAATTTTATAAATTTTTTAGCTTTAAACATTAAGTTAGAATAAATCTTCAGTCAAAATCAAAACAATATAAATTTTATTTACCTTCTCTCAATGCCTTTTAACAGAGAGTCTACTAGGGGCTGGCATAAGATTAGATTATTCAATCTCTTTAATTTGGTATTTAGGATACTTAAAGTGGGAACATAATACCCCATCTCCATATTATCCTCACCTTCCAAAATTTCAAGGGAAACAGCAACAAATTGCATAACCTAAAAAATTAAAATGATATGAAAATGAATCATTATTAATTAGAATTACTTCTGTATACTCTTTTATAAAAGTATGCTCTTCATCGTTAATATATTCAATTTCAACAAGATCACAGAGATAATTAATCTCTAATCTTCTTTCCTCCAGAAAAAAAGCGATTAGTTTTATTGCTTGGTATACAGAATTCCATCTTGTACGATTAGGGGTTAATAAATACCTCCCTAATTTTTTTTTAAACATGTCAGAACTTTTAGGAGATTTGTTCTGCTTATTCCATAAAGTTTGACATTTATAAAATGTTGATCTTGACACCCTTTTAAAATCTTCATCATTTAAAGCTCCTTCATCATCTACTATTGCTATCAAATTTAAATTATGACAGGAACATCTCTGATGGCTGGGTAACATTGTGGAGTTAGTTGAAGATCAGTGGCGTAGCCAGGATTCATGGGGGGGGGGGGGGGTTTGAAAAATTTTTGGGGGGCTTCGCCCCCAAACCCCCTTATCAAAATTTGCCAATATTTTGTGTATTATACCCAGGCCAGCATAAATATTAAAAAATATTAGAATTAAAATTTTTGCCAAATTTATAATTAATAAGCGACTGAAAGCATTATTTTGAAAATCAATGTTTAGTAAATTGTATATTAATTCAATCTATTCGATGTAAAAAAAATTTGCCTCCCCCCAAACCTTCCAATTTTATGATCAACTCAATATATCTTATTCTATGTTAAAAATAATTATTTTAATTAAATTTTTGCATATAACAATATTTTGCAGAGATTTTATTTATTATTAACTTTATTTATTTAACTATGTATTTATTTTAATAATATATAAAAAAATAAATTTCAAAATATATAAATTTTATACAGATTATTATATTAAAAATTGAATGTAAATAACTATATTTTAAAAAAATAAAATTGCAATAAAATATGTAATTCTTGCTAAAAAAATACAATTTAACAATTTTATTAACCCTTTATTTAACTATGTGTTTATTTTATATACAAAAAATAAATTTCAAAATTAGAAATTTTATACAGATTACTATTTTAAAAATTGATTGTAAATATCTATATTTTAAAAAAATAAAATTACAATAAAATATAAGTAATTCTTGTATGCAATTTAAAAAAATATAATTTAACAGTTATATTTAATACAAATGAGTATATTATATAAATAATTCTTATTGTAGGTGCAATACTATTATTAAATATAGTATAAAAATATCATGACTAAAAATTCATTATAATTAAGTTTTACATAGAAAATATTACAATTATATGATTTGAATTTATAAAGAGAGGTCTACTTTTCTCTGAGATTTGGCTAATTCATCTAGAATCAAATTTTTATCTAGAATAATCTCCTTATAAATATTTAATAGGGCTAATCCATTTAAACGGTTTTCACCGGTGCTATTTCTTAAATAGGTTTTTAACCTTTTCAAAGTTGAAAAAGACCTTTTATTAGTGCAGGTACTAATCGGTAAAGTAGCTAAAATAAAAAACAATGTTTTGATATTGGGCAGGGAATCTAAAGTGCAATTACACATGGAAAGGGCCTGCAAAGCGTTTTTTGGTCTCAAAGAGTACTCTATTCTGCCAAGATTTTTATACCAAAATTCGACATCACAAAGTAACTTATCATACGACCCTAATAATTCATCAGAATAAAACTCTGAGATGTTCTTAATATCCTCTCGCGTTTCAAGTGTAATCAACAATTCAGAATCAACCGGCAAAAGAAAATAAAAGCTTTTTAAAATAAAATTGTGACTTATAAATCTTTCCTTTAATTGAAATAAAAATGTATCAATAAGTGGAATAAAAATGTTAATTTTATAAAAATCCTCAATCGTAGATGAATCAATATTTGAGCGATTGGATTGTCTAGAAACTACTCTAGGTTTAAAAATTTCAATCCCAAACATATTAGCGGTCTCCTTTACTTTCCCATATATTTCGTGAAATTTTTCATCCACATTATCTATGATATTTGTTAATATTTCAACAATATCCTTTGCCCTATTCATAACCTCCCTTAAATCCAAATCAATTTTTTGTAACATTTTGCTAAAATTATATGTATAATTAAATAAAAAATAAACACATTGAATTGAAATTAAAAATTGAGGCTTCGTATTAGCCTGTAAAAGATTTTCCGCATCTGCGGAATCTTTTTCTTTGCGTAATATGTATGATCCCAGTGCCGCAAAAATAACCTCATATAACTCGATGAAAACCTTCACCGATTGTTGTCTTTTAATGAATCTTGTGGGACAAAATCTTTTTAATTTTTTTTTTGAATTTTTTGAATCAATTTCATCGAACGTTTGGGTAAAAATCTCCCTCTTCTTGGGTGGGGTAAAGAAGTCACAAACCGACGATATTGTTTCTAAATTTTGAAAAATATATAAAAATTATATAAAGATATCTATAATACATAATAAAATCTAATAAATTTCAATTAAATCAAAATCTTTTTACGTAAACTGTTCCAGATGTCTCTAATTTCACATGCCTCAGTTATCATCAAATTCAGGCAATGTGAACTGCAATGAACATAAAGAGCTGTGCTATAAAGCTCTCTAATTCTTGACTGGACCCCTTTAACATGGCCACTCATCGAGGGAGCTCCATCGTACCCTTGGCCTCCCAGTAGATTTAAATTTAAATCCAGGTTTTGAAGTGATTTAATAATTTGATTAGCAATCGTTTCTGACTTAGTGTCAGGTAATTCAATAAATTGAACAAATAGTTTCTTCATTTTATAATTACCTGATTCCATATCAATAAACCTTATTGCTATGGATAATTGTTCAATATTACCAATATCGGAAGTTTCATCCGCCAAAACACTAAAAAATGGTGATGCTTTGACTTTTGAAGAAACTTCCTTTAATATAAACTGATTGCATATTGATATTATTTCATTTTGAATAGTGGGACTTAGGTAAGTAGCATTTTTAGAGGAGCTTTCAAAAAGCTTTAGGTAGTTGTCATTATTATTACATAAAAATTTCAATAATTCCTTGAAATTTCCTTCATTGTGAGAAGGGGATGTAAGTGTTAGGGGGCCAGGAGATATCCTATGAGCTCTTAACGCCAAGCCCTGCCTCCCTAACCAAATGATAGCATCAATAATTATAATTATTCTTGATCGATTTTTTGTAACAATATCAAAATTTTTTTTATTCAATACATTGGATATTGATATCTTTTGATTCATTGAGATTTCTTTTAAAGAATCCATTATCTCACAGGAATTAAGATGATATTTATTTTTTTGATGATAATTAATTTGAGATCTTTCCATCTTGTGTACACCTGACTTACCAATGTTTTGAGTTTTTGTAACCCATTTCCAGCATATCTTGGGGAAAATATGACGCAAACTTTACAAAATGCGCCTTTTTCATCGGCTGAGTAAGCAAGCCACTTATATTTGTTAAGCCAGGATGCTTGAAAGGTTAAATTTCTTTTGCCCAAAGGCAATGGAAATTTATAACATTTGTCAGGTATCCAAATATTTTCAACAGCTAACAATTTTTCATTATCATTTTTAAAATAAAAATTTAAGTAAAGTGAAACATCTTTTTGAGAACGGTGTGGTGTTTCTATATTTTTTTTTAGATTTTAAATGATATATTTCAATATGAATTTCAATGTTAAGAGCTGAGCAGCACAAGAAAATAATCTGGATTATAAAAAATGTATCTCAGATAGATATCAAAGTTTCTTAATAAAAATTTAAAGACAGATACAAGTAGAAGGAAATTACTATATATATCATTACCAATTTTAATTAATATTTTTATATTTGTAGGATGATTTACACTCATGGAAGTGAAGAAGGTAGTAATATTTAAATTATGAAAATAAGTTCCTAAATATTATAAGCTGCCCAAGAATGTATATACAAAAGATTTTAAGAAAATAATTATGTTCTTCACAAATAAATAATAAAAACTATATTTCATAAACTATTCTAGTTTAATTGGTAATGATAAATCATCTGTACCTAAGATTCATTTTTTCACAACAAATCTGTATCTAGATTATTTTTCTGGAGGGCCTGCCCAACTCTGTTTGTATTGTAGATACAAGTTTTCAATACTGCTCAACTCTGAACTTATAATATACTACCTTTTGCAAAATAACACAAAAAAATGACTAACTTTAAAATTATAACTAAATATCGTACATTGCAAAATTTTAATAACTCAAAATGAAAATAGTATAATTTACAAATAAAAAAAATGGAATTAAAATAAATACTATACCATCATTTGATGATTTTCCAGCCAAATCAACTGATAGCTCACATGCTTTTGTAACACATAATGTTTCTATTTTTAATTAAAAAATATTAGAAATTATAAATAATTTAGAATATATACCATCATTTGATGATTTTGTAGCTAACTCATCATTGGTTTTCCCATGGAGATGGAGTGGTAATGGTATGTCTGGTATTTCTAATTGCAAGATTTAAATAAAAGATATTGATAATACCATTACCTTCGAACTCAACTGATGGCTGATTTTCACTAGCAACATCCATATATATTTCTAATTCAAATTACATAACTTAAATTTTATAAATAAATTAATATATACCTTTTCTTTTTGTTGTTGACAAAAAAATTTACGGATATCCATATTTAAAAATTATAAAAACTTAAAATTTACAAACAAAACAAACTATCTAAATAGTTTAAATTTAAAAATATATATTTAATAATTAAATTTATAAATATCTAATTTAACTATGCCAAGCCAGAAAATATTTACAAAATATCTTTATTGTTATTTAATATTCTAATTTAACTATGCCAGAAATTATTTACAAATACAATATATCTTTATTCTTATTGTTGTTTTCAATACTTCTCAACTCTGCTTGGCTTATAATGTACTACCTTTTGAATAACACAAAAAAATGACTAACTTTTAAATATCGTACATTGCAAAATTTTAATAACTCAAAATGAAAATAGTATAATTTACAAATAAAAAAAATGGAATTAAAATAAATACTATACAATCATTTGATGATTTTCCAGCCAAATCAACTGATAGCTCACATGCTTTTGTAACACATAATATTTCTATTTTTAATTAAAAAATATTAGAAATTATAAATAATTTAGAATATATACCATCATTTGATGATTTTGTAGCTAACTCATCTTTGGTTTTCCCATGGAGTGGTAATGGTATGTCTGGTCCTTCTAATTGCAAGATTTAAATAAAAGATATTATAAATATTACCATTACCTTCGTCATCTGAGGATACAACGAAAACCAACTCAACTGATGGCTGATTTTTACTAGCAAGAGCAACATCTATATCTATATATATTTCTAATTCAAATTACACAACTTAAATTTTTATATACCTTTTTCTTTTTGTTGTTGACGAAAAAACTTACGGATATCCATATTTAAAAATTATAAAAAATTAAAATTTACAAACTATCTATATAGTTTAAAAATATATATTTAATAATTAAATTTATAAATATCTAATTTAACTATGCCAAGCCAGAAAATATTTACAAAATATCTTTATTGTTATTTAATAAATTTAACTATGCCAGAAATTATTTACATACAATATATCTTTATTCTTTTATTGTTATTTAATATTTTAGTTCATATAATTTATATATATTTTTAAACGATGTGATCATTTAAAATTAAAACTCCTTTTTTTATAAATATATTTCATTGTGATATTCATATTCATATTGTATTATATATAATATATTATCTTATTTGTCTAAATTGAAACCGTTTTTTAAATATAATTATTCGCAATAAAAAAATAATATTTTTTATTTTATAAAAAAAAAAAAAATTTTTAAAAAACATAAATTTTTTTCAATGGGGGGGGTTTCGACCCCCCCCCCCTTTGTCTACGCCACTGTTGAAGATCCTATAGAATATTGATTAGATTAACATGTATTATAAAATAATTTAAACCTTCTTCTAAGATCTCATTAATATCATTGGCATCAACACCTATTTCCTCCTCTTCCAATACATGTCAACTATCATTCTGTATCTCATCTTCAGCATTATCCTCACCAAATATTCTATATTCATATTAAATAGGACAAATTAAATTATTCATCCAGTTTTAATAGAAATGTCTAATAATATTTATCAAAAATGGAGTGGAAAAATCATTTCTTAGTATTCTAAATTTTGAACCTCAGGAATTATAATGTAACTAAGCAAAAATATTTTATCAAATGAATACATTGAATGAATTCCCTGTACTGTATATAAATTGATGGCAATTAATCAATAAGAAATAAATATAGTAAAAATATAATCATCCATGAAATATTCAATAACCATATCTTATTAAATGTTAGATTAGCTCAATGACACTGTACAATAAAAATTAATGAAATAATCCACCTCTTTTTTATATTTTATTAGTTAATTTCACTAATTTTATTTATAATTTGATATAAATTATGATAATCATAATATTATTAAAATATGTGTGTATTTAGTTAATAAAAATTCTATAAATAATGTGAAATATTATAATACTAAATATTTTATAGATTAAATAATAACCATTCCATTCTGATTAATTTACTGCCCAAAAAATCATAACTTAAAATAAATATTATAAATAAATTTGTGATATAACCTAAATGCCTTCGGGTAGTTAGACCCATTATCAGTAACCATCTTGCAAACTTTATTATGAATCCTAAAAGATTTGTGGATGTCAATAATTTTATTTGCAAGTACTCTGGCATCCTATAATCCTTTTAAGGGCTAAGGCTACAGATCTTCTTTTTAAAGTCCTAGGGTCTAACCAATGGCCTGTGATTCCCAAATAAGCTCTAAAAATATTTAATCAAATCAATTTATAAATATAAATAAGTTTTTACCTTCTGTTATGTGTCCAACTATCTGCCGTGGTACATACATAAGATATATCTGATAACTCTACTATTAGAGCATCTTTCATCACTTTGAAGTTGTCGGCTATTTTATTCATAAGTGTCTGGCGACATAAAACTGTTGTGCCAGGGGATAAAGTTTTAATCATCATAGTAAATAATGGATTATCAACCAAGGACAATGGCTGAACTGTGTCAATAATAAAATCAACAATTACTTTATCAGCCAATTTTTGTGAAATATTGGCATGTTTATTATCAGTTAATTTAGTTTGGATAGTATTTGTCTTTTTGAATGAAGATTCTCCTATACCAAAATTTTTTATATGTTTCTCTATTTCCTTATAGCAATTGGCGTGAACAGTCTAATAAAATAAATAATATTATAATGTAAAAATAACAATTTACCTTAAGGTGTTTTTCAGGTTATAGCTACTCGATTGATTTGATGATATATTTTTTTTATATTTTAAGCACAGGAATTTGAATCCAGATTTTGTTTTAATATTTATTTTAAAAAATTTTTCAAATCTAGGGAATGGGAAATCGTTACTAGAACTATTAAGTACATTTTCTTCCATTGAATCTTCCATCTCTGAATCACTTTCAAGGATTTGGATATCCATGGGCGATGCCATTTTAGATTATTAACACAGATTGAAAATATATTTAATTTCTAAATTAAATAATAAATTATAAAAATTATAATTAATTATGATATTATATTTAAATTTTCATGTTTATACTTACATTCATTATATTTTTTAAAAGTAGCGCGCTAAAAAATTAAATAATTTAAAAAAAAGTAGCGGCTATTATCTATCGCTACCAAAATACGCTACGTAGCGCGCTACTTTAACAACTCTGCAAAAATGAAATACATATAATAATATAAAAATGAAACTGAGCTAAAATGGGTAACAGTATATATTAAAAATAAAATAGAATATTAAAAGTAGTAACAGCTAAAGATAAGGATTGAAATATTAGAAATTGAATAAAACATAAATGGGAAGGATGATTCTATCATCAGGAGCAATTGAATTAATTGAGTTAATAAAGCACACATAATTTATCTTATGGATGGTAATTGCTATTTTTTGTCTTAAATAGAAGTCTTGCCGAGGTTCCACAATTTTTTTAATTTGAAGATAGGCGTTTTTGAAATTTGCCAATCACCATGCTTTGTAAGGGTAGAGCTGATTATTAGTCCCAAAATATAACATGATGAATCAAGCAATAATTATATTTATAAATTATGGATCTCAAAATTTATAAAAAAATTCTAATAAAATTCGCTATAATTTAAAAATAACTATAA